TACAACTTCTTTTGTTCCCCTTTTCATTTTTTTTCCTTTCTTTTTTTCTATGAGTCTACCTCTAGGGACTAGAATGTTCGCCTCTTCACAGTTTACAGAGCATTTGTGTGGGTCCTCAAAAAGACTACTGGAGGTGGGGCACAGTGGCTCACACCTGTAATCCCAGCACTTTTGGAGGCCGGGGTGGGTGGATCACTTGAGGTCAGGAGTTAAAGACCAGCCTGGCCAACATGGTGCAACACTGTCTCTACTGAAAATACAAAAATTCGTCAGGCGTGGTGGCAAGTGCCTGTAATCCCAGCTACTAGAGAGGCTGAGGCACTACCATCGCTTGAACCTGGGGAGTGAAGGTTGCAGTGAGCTGAGATGGTGCCACTGCACTCCAGCCTGGGTGACAGAGCAAGATTCTGTCCCAGTCTCAAACAAACAAACAAACAAACAAAACCAAAAAACGATTACTGTGAGAAGGGAGAAAGCTGGACTCACAGCAATGTCTGTTTGAAAATGAGGCTGTGAGGCCAGCTGGGCACTGTGGCTCATGCAATGCATAGTCCCAGCACTTTGGGAGGTCAAGGTGGGCACATCACTTTTGCCCATGAGTTTGAGACCAGCCTGGGCAAAATGGTAAAATCCTGTCTCCACGAAAACAAAAATTAGCTGGGCATGGTGGCATGTGCCTGTGGTCCCAGCTACTTGGGAGGCTGAGGTGGGAGGATCACTTAAGCCCAGGAGGTAGAGGCTACAATGAGCTGTGATTGCACCACTGCATTCCAGCCTGGGTGACAGAGTGAGACCCTGTCAAAAAAAAAAGGAAAGAAAGAGAGAGAGAGAAAGAAAAAGGAAGAAAGAGAGAGAGAGAGAAAGAAAGAAAGAAGAAAGAAAGAGGGAAGGAAGGAAGGAAAGAAAGAGAAAGAATGAAAGAAATGAAGCCATTGGCGGGGCAGAGTGCCTCATGCCTGTAATCCCAGCACTTTGGGAGGCCGAGGTAGGAGGATTACTTGGGGCCAGGAGTTTGAGACTAGCCTGGGCAACACAGTGAGACCCCCATCTCTACAAAAGAAATTTAAAAAGGAAAAAAGATAGAAAATGAGGCCATGCCCTCTCTGGCAGTAGTAGAGATGTTCTATGGTACATACAGCCGGGAATAAGACGCAGGAGGTGTGGGCGGGGCAGATGCTCTGCTAAGATTAGTTGACTGCTACTTCTTCTCAGAAAAGGTGGTCTAAGGGTAAGGAAGTACTTTATAGAACATTCTGACATTTGGGGTTTAATCTGGAGGCTTGCAACATTTTATTATGTAAGGATTGCAGGAATCTTAACCCTTTATAGCACCCTCATCTGATTCCCTTAAGACCTCAGTTGGGCAGGATGTGGGGTTAGTACACCAAGTAAATAGGCTGGGGAACAGGTGTGACTTGCCCTGGGTCGCAGAGCAACTCCCTGGAGAGCTGAGGCTGGTACCTAGGGCTCCACTTCCTTCTTTCCATAATTTACTGAATTTATTATGGAAAGAATTCCATAATTCACTAAATTATGGAAAGAAGGAAGTACAGCACTGGGTGGAGTTACTGTACTGAGCATGAAAGATAGAGTCCTTCCTTTCTGCCCTGGTGTTTCATTTTAAAGGGATTATAGCCATATACACACAAAAAGATAGACACACACACAAAATGAACTGCGAAGTGCAGTAGATACTATGAAGTTCATCAATATAGACCCAGACAGAAGATCATAGAGGTAGGGGATGCTCTAGAGAGGGCAGTCAGGGCAGCCTCCTCTTAAGAGATGCCATTTAAGCCAATGAAGTAATTCCTGGGGACAGTGTGGGTGGGGGAATCTTCCAGGAAAAGGAAACAGCAGAATCTCAGATCCCAAGCAGCAGGTGGAGTTGAGCTTGATTTTAGAGGTAGGACTGAGCAAGGGTGAGGGAAAGAGAAGGTCCAGGGTGGGTCTCAAGTTCTGGGAGGAGCAGCTGGTTGGATGGTGGTGCGATCACAGAGGTGGGAAACCATGGAAGAGAGCCAGGAAACAGCTGAAAATCAGGAGCTGGGTGTTGCGCTTGTTAAGTTGGAGAACCCTATTGGATATCCAAGGGGAGGTATCACTGGGCACTTGTAACTGTAAGTCTGGCTCTTTGGGGAGAGGCCCAGGATGGAAATATCAATTTGGGAATTATTAGCTTGCAGTAAGTATATAAAATTGTGGGATCACACAGGAAGAGAAGAGAAGGGACACAGGACTGATTCCTGGGATGCTCCAATATTTAGAAGTCAAGGTCAAAGAGGAGCCAGCAAAGGAGAGTGCGAGAGAACATCCGGTGAGTATGATAAAAGGAAAACCAAGAGCGTGTAGCGGCCGTGGAACCAAACAAAGAGTGCTTTAGAAAAGGGTAAGTGTTCTCCATGTCAAATGCTGCCAGGAGATCACGCAAAGTGAGCACATAGACATGACCTCTGCATTTTTCAATATGGAGGGACTTTACGACCTTGACAACAGGAGTTTCAATGAGCTGATTTGGGCAGAAGCCTGGGTGGAGGGAGTTGAAGAATAAATGTTGACTTCTGGATAAATGGCAGATGGAGTGAGACCCCGTCTCTAAAAAAAAAAAAAAAAAAAAAAAGCAGGGGGGCAGGTGTAGTGGCTCACACCTGTAATCCCAGCACTTTGGGAGGCATGGTAGATCATGAGGTCAGGAGTTCAAGACCAGGCTGGCCAACCTGCTGAAACCCCGCCTCTACTAAAAATACAAAAATCAGCTGGGTGAGGTGTTGTGCACCTGTAATCCCAGCTACTTTGGAGGCAGAAGTAGGATAATTGTTTAAATCCTGGAGGCAGAGGTTGCAGTGAGCCAAGATCGTGGCACTGCACTCCAGCCTGGGTGACAGAGCAAGACTCCATCTCAGAAAAAAAAAAAGTCTTGGTTTTTCATTTGTGATGGACCACAAATGAAAACCAAGATGACCACTTACTCCAGGGAATAAAAAAGTCGTTCAGAGATAGAAAGAATCATAATATACTACATGGCTTAGCTCAGAGGCATGATTGCAATCTAGCATGACATCATCATGTCTAGAAAACGGTGGATGGAGGGTATATGTCAGGGGAGGGGGAGGAACTGGCGAAGGAGCTGACTCCCATCTTTTGAAAGCCTGAATGAATCAGCATCATGAGCTGACATGTAGAAGATAAAAGGGCTGAGAAGATGTGAAAAGTAGGTTGGGAAAGGAAACCTGTAAGGGACGTGTAGACGGGTATGGGGTATCTGGGGGACCCATTGACATATGGGTGCTGTGTTGGAAATGCTGCCAGTCAGCATAGTATAGAGACTTTTCCCAGTCAGTGGAGGTTCTGAGAAGGTGGGTCCTGGGGGAAAGGGGCCTTGGTGTGAGAGGCTGGTCTTAGAATAGAGATTCTGGTAGACCAATCTGGTCAGCACAGGAGCCCTGGCCTGTCCCATGGCTTGGGCCCTTAGTCAGTCTGGCCTCATCCATTTTCAGTTGTTGACTCAACCCCCTGCAGTAAAGAATGGGTAAGGCACTGGGCCAAGACACCTTAGCCAGGGCTCTGGCCTCCCTCCTCAGCTAGCCTCATGACGCACAGAGTCTCAATGCGGCAATGGCCTCAGATCAAGCTCATTTCCAGGCCATGAGTGGAATGAAAATATCCCTCTTGGACTTATCCAGGAAGCTGCCCCCTGTGGGAAAATCTCCCAGCTCTTAACAGGAAAAATGGCATTGGCCAACCCTGGTGGCTCAGCCTGTAATCCCAGCACTTTGGGAGGCTGAGGCAGGTAGATCACCTGAGGCCAGGAGTTTGAGACCAGCCTATCCAACATGGTGAAACCCCATCTCTACTAAAAATACAAAAATTAGCTGGATGTGGTAATAGGCGCCTGTAATCCTAGTTACTTGGAAGGCTGAGGAGGAGAATCACTTGAACCTGGGAGGCGGAGGTGGCGATGAGCCAAGATTGTCCCACCGCACTCCAGCCTGGGCGACAAGAGCAAAGCTCCATCTCAAACAAAATAAAACAAAAAAGAATAATGGCATTAATAATGCAATACTACATACTACTGTTAATCAACTTTACAATGATGCAGGAACTTTTCTTTTCTTTTTTTTTTTTTGAGACAGAGTCTTGCTCTGTCGCCCAGGCTGGAGTGTGGTGGTGGCATGATCTCAGCTCTCTGCAACCTCTGCCTTCCAGGCTCAAGGATTCTCCTGCCTCAGCCTCCCAAGTACCCGGGACTACAGGCTTGTGCCACCATGCCCCGCTAATTTTTTTTTTTTTTTTTTTTTTTTTTTTTGAGACAGAGTTTTGCTCTTGTTACCCAGGCTGGAGTGCAATGGGCTGATCTCGGCTCACCGCAACCTCCGCCTCCTGGGTTCAGGCAATTCTCCTGCCTCAGCCTCCTGAGTAGCTGGGATTACAGGCACGCGCCACCATGCCCAGCTAATTTTTTGTATTTTTAGTAGAGACGGGGTTTCACCATGTTGACCAGGATGGTCTCAATCTCTTGACCTTGTGATCCACCGGCCTCGGCCTCCCAAAGTGCTGGGATTACAGGCTTGAGCCACCGCGCCCGACTCTAAAACTTTCGTATAATAAATTATTTATTTCTGTCCTCACAATGACCCTAGGAGGTGGGTACCATGATTTTCCTTACTTCACACAGGCAGAAATTGAGGCACAGGGAAGTCCAGTGAGCTGCTCAAGCCATGAAGCTTCAAGCAATAGAGGCTAGACCCTAAGCCAGGCCACTGGGAGCCAGTGTCCCTGCAATCACAACTGCCCAATGCTGCCTCTCAGAGGGTCCTTGCTGTCCCTGAGGGGTCATTTCTGAAAAGGCCAATGTCACGGCCTGAGTGTAGGAGGTCCCTCCTGGGCTGCTGGCCCCCTCATTGCCCTTGGTGGGGACAGGGCTGCTGTGTCCCCTGGAGCTTCCTGGCAGCACCTGGTGCACCCTGGAGAGGAGGCCAAGAGCCTGTAGGAACTGGAGGAGCTGCGGGCTGTACGCAGATTCAGAGCCAGGGGGTGCCTGGCCTGAGCCCTAGACCAGTGGGGCCCTCTGGTGGCCCAGGGAGAGAGGCCATGGCCTCCTCAGACCTGCCACCTTGGGATTAGGAACCAAAAGTGGCTTTCTCAGGCTGGGTCCATTTAGCTGTGGCTCCTGCACCCTCCCCCAGGCCCGGAGCCCCCTGAGCTCCACTCCCACCCCAGGCCTGCTCTGGCCTCTACAGACTACGGTCCTGGTGAGTGTAGAAATTGGGACAAGCATTGTCAGTTTCCCTGGGGGTCTCCCCACCTTTGAACCTGACTTGGTGAGGAGTTCTCGCTCCCCATAGTAGCTCCCCCGACTCATGTTCCTACCTGGGAGGGGGTGATGGGTCATGTGAGGAATGTACCCGCAAGGTCCCTAGTTTCAGGGCCTGAGTCCCCTTTCCCTGCTCTGTGGGTGTACAGGGGTGATGTCCTGCACTTTCCCCAGAAGTCTGCCACCCCCCCGAACCCGTGAGAACAAGCCCCTCTCATTCTATGTCCCTTGACTCCATGACCGAGGCTGCCTTGTCCACGAGGCAGGAATCCCCGTTCCCGGTGCAGCCAGAACAAAGCCCTTGTCCTCGCCACTCTGGGCTTCTGCTGTTCTTGGTCCCTTATCCTGTTGTCACAGGGCTAACCCTCCCACACACCTGGCTGTCTCCTGCCCCACCGCTCCTGAGCTGCTCCTGCCCCTGCCTCTAACACCCAGCACCTCTGTTCCTCTTATCTTCTTGGACCCCAAGCCCTTTCTGGGTAACCCGAAAGCTCGGAGACAGTGACCAGGCGACCCCCAGTCTGCCCCTCTCCCTGAATCCAGAGCTCTGTAGTCACAGTAGAGGCAGTTGCTGTCATTCCATGGCCCATGACAGCCCGGCGGCCCGCATCCCTCCCCCATGGTCCCCTGCACAGACAGGCCCACGTGTGTCCCCAGATGCCTGAATCACTGCTGACGGCTGGGGACCTGATGGCTGTGGGCTCCTGGGGAGCCACTGGGGAGGGGGTGGTGGCCACGTCTTGCCTCTGAGGGAACACCTGCGGACATAAATAGGGATCCGGCAGAGGCAGCAGCACAGAGCCACCAAGCCGAGCTGCGTACGGGGCCCACCTGCGTGTACCAAGATGCCTGACACCATGCTGCCCGCCTGCCTCCTCGGCCTACTGGCCTTCTCCTCTGCGTGCTACTTCCAGAACTGCCCGAGGGGCGGCAAGAGGGCCATGTCTGACCTGGAGCTGAGACAGGTACCTCCCTCCGTGGGCCATCTCAGGGCTGGGGCTAGGAAAGAGGGAAGTCATGGGTGATGGCAGTCTTTAGGGGAAGTGCTGGGGAGGAAGAGGGAGGCATGGCATGGCTGGGCAGAGGAGCCAATGGAGTGGGTCAGAGGGGACCAGGCTTTTCGGGAGGCTGGGAGAGGCTGAAGGGGCTCCTGGTCACTGTTGCCATCCAGACAGGGATGCAGGGAAGTGAGGGATGCTTCACCTGTGGCTGGGCTTGGGGCTGGATCAGGGAGAATGTGGCATCATGGCCTCCCCTGCGCCCATGGCGTTCTTGCACCTGGACTGGCTGGGGCAGCAGAAGCTCCCTCCTAGCTGGCATTGGAGGTTTTCCTCATCTAGCCCCAGCCTCCCAGCCACAGGCACCCAGCCCCCCCCCACACACACACAGAAGATGGCCACCGGTCTGACGCACTTGAGTCGGGCAGCCTGTGGGGAAGTTCTGCTGGGAACCTGGCCTAATTCTCTAGTCCTGGCCGTTTCCTCCATTTCCAGCAGAGCTGAAGGAAATCCAGCTATGATGCGCAATTCTGTCCAGGCGCAATTCTGTCCAGGCGCAATTCTGTCCAGGCGCAATGATGAGCCGTTGAGCAAATTAGACCACACCAGGCTGGGCTCAAAGTCTAACGCGCTATCCATTGCGCCACAGAGCCGGCTGTTGAAATTAGAGCGGCTGGGTGGGCAACCCCCGAAGCCTCCGGTCCTCCCGGTTGGCTCCTATGGGGTCCTGAGGCACCTGGGTGTCCGTGCTCTCCGTGCCCTCCTCCAGGGCTCAGGCCCTTGCCACCCACCTGCTAGGTCATAGGCGGCTGAGCAGGGGGTCAGGGCCCCAGCAGCTTGGGATGGCGGGGGGGGGGGGGGGGGGGGGGGGGAGGGGGGGGGGAGGGGGGCCAGAGGAAGGGCCAGGGATTTGGATGGGCAGGGCCTTTTTATGGTGGAGTGGGGAGGGGAGGGTGTGGACCCCAGCTCAAGCCCCAGCAGTGGGAGGAGGAAGGGGGAAGGGTCTGGAGTGGCGGGGGGTGGGGTAGGGGGCAGCTGCAAGAGTGGTGCCCACCAGCGATGGCCCTGGGGCTAGAGGAAGGGCTCCACGGGAGACCCATCCCCAGCTGAGGGTGAGGACGCTGAGGGCTATCACTGAGAGGTCATCCAAGAACCCAAGGTGCTGAGCGGATTTTGACGCCCCGCCCTTGACTGCGGAAGAGACCCCAGGGCCCTTGCAGCTGCAGCGCTGGTGTCCCGCCCGCACTCCGCCCCAGACCCAGCATCCCCGCCAAGCGGATTTCCCCTCCAACCCCGGATCCCCGGCTCTCCGCTCCTCCCGCTCACCCCGCCCGTCCCTGCAGTGCCTCCCCTGCGGCCCCGGGGGCAAAGGCCGCTGCTTCGGGCCCAGCATCTGCTGCGTGGACGAGCTGGGCTGCTTCGTGGGCACTGCTGAGGCGCTGCGCTGCCAGGAGGAGAACTCCCTGCCGTCGCCCTGCCAGTCCGGCCACAAGGCCTGCGGGAGCGGGGGCCGCTGCGCCGCCTTCGGCATCTGCTGCAACGACGGTGCGCGGCGGGGGCGCGCTGGGGCTGGGACGGGTGCTGACGGTGTGGGTGGGGGGCACGCGGGCCGGGCGGGGAGGGGGCGGGCCCCCAACCCCAGCTGCGCCTACCCCAGGGCGCCAGCGCTCACACGCTCACACGATCGCAGAGGGCTGCGTGATCGAGCCCGAGTGCCGCGAGGGCTTTCACCGCCGCGCCCGCGCCGGAGACCGGAGCAACGCCACGCAGCTGGACGGGCCGGCCGGCGCCTTGCTGCTGCGGCTGGTGCAGCTGGCAGGGGCACCCGAGCCCTTCGAGCCCGCCCAGCCCGGTGTCTACTGAGCCCCGCGCCCGCCCCTACAGCACAGACAATAAACTTCTAGCAATGCACCGCCTCGCGTCTGTCTCCGTCTGTGGCGGGAAGAGGGAAGGGGAGGGAGGTGGGGGCGCGGACCCCCGCCACCGCGCCGCCCGGTCTGCCCTGGACCTGAGATCGTGGGCAGAGCCACCCCAGAGAAGCGACAGGTCTGGGACCCTCAGAGGTGTCTCTAGACCGAGGGACACGGGGAATTGGGAGGCAGGGTGAGGGGAGACCAGAGGCTGAGAGTGGCCTTGGATGGGGTGGGTTGGGGATCCTCCGGCAGAGGGAAAGAAGTAAAAGCAGAGAGGGGAAAGGCCTGCAGGACGAGACAGCAAGAAAGCAAGAGACACAGAGACAGCAGAATGATGGAGAGAGAGGTGGAGACCTTGATAGTGACCAAGAGAAGAGTGAGAGAGAGCAGAGGGGACACACACGCCAAGGGGTGACCGTTTCTGTCCTCATTTTCAGCCCAGGAGACTGAAGCACAAACCGTTCAGGGACCCACCCAGGTCCCGGGACTCCCAGTGCAATGTCAGTTTCACCCAAAGCAGTGCTCGAGTGTGGTGGCGAAGGGGATGTCACCGCAGACCCAGCGGACACAGCGCCACCTGCTGTCCGTCCAGTGTACCCACCATTAGGGCCGCCCAGCTAGAGTTGGGGGATCCCTAAGGATACAGCCCCGCACACCCACAGGCACTCTTGGACAGAAACACAGACAAGAAAGTAACTGTCAGGGACATGTCCGCAACCACAAAGACCCTGAGCCCCACATTCAGAGCCACAGACACACCCAGAGAAACAGACACATCTGACATGGGGATGGGCAGGAGCAGGTACACACAGTCACGTGTGCAGGAGTGCACTCACTTAGCTCCGGGACATGAAGACCTTCTGCCCTTTGACAAGAGCCTCTTTGGCACAAAGATGTCCACCGGCACTCCGCCTCTTCCTCTACCCTCTTCCCTGGAGTCTCTCACCCCCTTCTTGAACCTCGAACCTTTTCTTGGTCCCATCTGCCCTTTCTCTCCTTTGTCTCTCTCCTCCCTGTTCTGCAGCTCAGGGCCCCCTCTTGCCTCTCCTTGGCCCCTCCATCCCTCCCCATTTGTCCTCTTGGCCTCTCCATCCTTCCCCTTCTGTCCCCTCACCCCCTCTGCCACCTCCCATCTGTCTGTCTAGGCCTCCTCTGTTCTCTGCATCTTCTCCTTGGGCTTCTTTGCTCCAGGTCTTGGAGCCACAAGAGGCTGTATCTCCTTCGGGATCCTCCAGAAACTCTGAAGCCAGATGGAGTGCAGGAGGAAGGAAGTCCCCCTGGGTCCTGATCCCAGCGCCCAGGCTTCTGGCCCAGCCTGGTGACTCAGGCAGCCCAGCCTCAGCGGCCGTGGGCAGAGTCCAGGCACATGCCAAGGTCACACTGTCTTCCACACTCCCACGGCTCCCCTTGGCTGTCACCCCTGATCTGGTTGTGGCCTCCTCTACCAGGCAGTGCCTGACGTGACTGGGTCTAGCCAGCAGGGGCAGGGGCCATGCAGGCTTGGGTCACTGCCATGACCTCCTGCTCCTGTCTCATGTGGTCCATTCAGGGCCAGCCCTCATCTGGTTGGGGCTGGAGCAGGACCAAACCTAATAAGAATTGATTAACTCTTCCAGACTGGGAGGTAGGAAGAGGCAGGTGGCTTGGCTGCACTGAATCCAATCCAAAGTGCTAGTGTCTGGACTTGGGGACAGTTTCAGAATGAGATCCAGGAACTTCCTCTTCCCAAATACAGACTTAGAGACGCCTTTCTCTCCACTTGTCTTCAAAGCAATCAGGCGACTACTTCTGGGAAGGGGTGAGGGATGCCTGCCTGCCCATACTTTGCCCAAATGTCCACCCCGCTGAACAGCCTTTCCCTCTTTCTCCCCCTCCTTGAGTCCCCTGACCCAGCTACAGAGCCGTTTAGCAGGGAAAGCTCTGGCCTTGTCTGCTCAGTCTCTCCAGGGCAAAGGGGCTGCGGAAAACCTATGACAAGAGTCAAAGCAGAGTGTCCATGCTGGTTCATAAAAATGGTAACATTGGCAGCGTCTCTTTTTATTTCTGTTTATTTTTCAGCATCTATATTAAGGACACAGCAGTGTCTCTTCTTAAATATATGTGAGTCTATTTCTGGACTCTCCAATCTGTTGCATTGATCTATAGAGCTATGTTTTTTTTTTTTTTTTAGACAGAGTCTCACTCTGTCGCCCAGGCTGGAGTGCAGTGGCATGATCTCACTCAACAGCCATGTTGTCCAGGCTGGTTTCGAACTCCTGACCTCAAGTGGTCTGCCTGCCTCGGCCTCCCAAAGTGCTGGGATTACAGGCATGAGCCACAGCACCTGGCCTAGAGCTATCCTTTCTAAAATACTACACTGTTTTGAATATAAAAACTTTATCAGGTTGTGTGGCTTTTCCAACTTTGTTCTTTTTCAAGATTGTTTTGGCTATTCTAGTTCCTTTGTCATTCTATATAAATTTTAGAATTAAAATGATTTCTACAAAAAAATCCTATTGGGAGTTTAATTAGAATTGTGTTGGATCTGGTTGGGCGCGGTGGCTCACACCTATAATCCCAGCACTTTGGGAGGCCAAGGAGGGTGGATCATCTCAGGTCAGGAGTTCGAGACCAGCCTGATTAATATGGTGAAACCTGGTCTCCACAAACACACACACACACACACACACACACACACACAAAAGAATTGTGTTGGATCTTTCAATCAATTTGTGGAGAAATGATATCTTTACTCTGATGAGTCTTCCAAATCAATAAACAAAATATATCTCTCCAGTTATTCAGGTCTTCTATGTCTTCCGTCAGCATTTTATAATTCTCAGCATATAGAATTTGTATATATTATGTAAGATTTCTATCCAAAAGATTTCATATTTTTCACACTATTTTATTTATTTATTTGGGGTGAAGTCTCCCTGTCACCCATGAGTACAGTGGCATGATCTTGGCTCACTGCAACCTCTACCTCCTGGGTTCAAGTGATTCTCTTGCCTCAGCCTCCTGAGTAGCTGGGATTACAGGAGCTCACCACCGCACCTGGTTAATTTTTGTATTTTTAGTAGAGACGGGGTTTTGCCATGCTGCCCAGGCTTGTTTCGAACTCCTGACCTCAGGTGTTCGAAATCTCAGCTCACCACAACCTCCACCTCCCAGGTTCAAGCAATTCTCCTGCCTCAGCCTCCTGAGTAGCTGAGATTACAGGCATGCACCACCACGCCTGGCTAATTTTTAGTATTTTTAGTAGAGGGGTTTCTCCATCTTGGTCAGGCTGGTCTCAAACTCCCAATCTCAGGTGATCCACCCACCTCAACCTCTCAAAGTGCTGGGATTACAGGTGTGAGCCACCATGCCCAGCCTGTGTTTTAAAATTTAATTTCCAAGTAGTTATTGCTAGTATATGGAATTATGAATTATTATTAATTTTATGTGTTGACTTTGTATCCTGTGATGTTGCTATATGTACTTATTAGATCTAATAATTTTTTTGAAGATTCTTTGGAGTTTTCTACATAGACAGTAATTTCTTTTTCTTTCTTTTTTTTTTTTTTTTTTGCTGAGGATTTTTGCAACTTCTTTCCATGCCTCCTCAGTCAGTGTGGCAGCCATGCTTTGCTCAGACTCCGTTTCATTGCATCATGGTCAGGCCATTGTTCCCAGCAGAATCCTGGGGTAATCATGGGGTTCACCTAGTAAATTTTTCTCTCTCTATCATGCCTGAAAACAGTTGCTTTATATATTTTATCCAGTTTTGCAACTGCTTATGGTAGGAGGTCTAGTCAGTTACCAGTTACTCTGTGGACAGAAGCAAAAGTTCTATCTTAATATTAAAAGAGAAATGATTGACGCTTCTGCTTTCATCTCTCCTGGGTCATAGACATGATGCCCAAAGAACAAGTAATAGTTTTGTGACATGAAGACAAAAGGTATCCACTAAGGCTGACACAGCAGGAAGGTGGAATGGGTAGGGTTGTGAAGGCACTGTGGAATGGCTATACTAGTCCTAAAATGCTGCTTTCTGGCCCATGAGCTGCATGAATAAACTTCGCATTCAAGATGTTATCTGCTGGGTTTTCTGTTACTTACTATAGGTGGGTGCAAAAATAATGGCAAAAACCTATTACGTTGCACCAACCTAATAACAAATTCTATCCTAACTGATATAAAATTATAGCACAGAAAAAAATGGTGTCTAACAATCTAATTTATGATTCAAACATCCAAAAAATAATAGTAAATCTGTTGCAGAAGACTAAATTGAAGAGTACATCATGAGCAAATGGATTTCTTTTTTTTTTTGAGACAGAGTCTTGCTCTGTCACCAGGCTGGAGTGCAGTGGCGCAATCTCGGCTCACTGCAACCTCCACCTCCTGGGTTCAAGCAATTTCTCTTGCCTCAGCCTCCCGAGTAGCTGGGACTACAGACATGCGCCACCACACCCAGCTAATTTTTATATTTTAGTAGAGACGGGGTTTCACTATGTTTGGCAGGATGGTCTCGATCTCTTGACCTCATGATCCGCCCGCCTCAGCCTCCCAAAGTGCTGGGAATACAGGTGTGAGCCACCACACCCAGCTGCAAATAGGATTTCTTAATGAATGGAAGATGGCTCGACAATGGAAAATTTGGGCTGGGCGCGGTGGCTCAAGCCTGTAATCCCAGCACTTTGGGAGGCCGAGGCCGGTGGATCACGAGGTCAAGGGATCAAGACCATCCTGGTCAACATGGTGAAACCCCGTCTCTACTAAAAATACAAAAAATTAGCTGGCATGGTGGTGCGTGCCTGTAATCCCAGCTACTCAGGAGGCTGAGGCAGGAGAATTGCCTGAACCCGGGAGGCGGAGGTTGCGGTGAGCCGAGATCGCGCCATTGCACTCCAGCCTGGGTAACATGAGTGAAACTCTGTCTCAAAAAAAAAAAAAAAAAAGAAAAAAAAAGGAAAATTTGTTCACATAATTCTCAAAAGAAGATAAACACTGTCATTTCTAGGAGTTC